AGGTTGATCTGGTATTTCAGAAACTCCATGTAGAAGGTTCAGAGCAGCAGTTGTCTTTGAAGTGGCTGAAAAAGGAGTAGCTTCAAAGTAAGCAGTTTTAAGAATCAGTTCTCTCTCCCAGTTTTCTTACAGAGTCTGCCTGGCTAGATTTGCAGTTTTAGAGAGATTTGCAGTTGCATTGAAATCATAGTTATCTGCAATTTAAAATAAACTGAGCCTAATTTTTATCAAGCAGAAAGCAGCTTGATACTGCTGAGGAACTGGCAATTTCATTCTGATTTTGAGAAATAACACAACATAAAGCCTCCACTAAGAAAAACAAAATCCAAAATGAGAGGCAAACATTCTTTACTGGTCTTTGAAGGCCCTACTTCCTGAAAACATGTACCTAATGCAGACATGTATAACATCCTGGTTTCCTAGCAGTAATGTCTGTCTGCAGTTGAATGTTTGTCTCATCTGGTCTCTCTTGGAACCCCTTGATTTCTGGCCATTTTGCACTCCTTGTGAAATTCACATCCTTGGCATAAAAAGGTTTTTCCATGAGTAGGAAGCTAATGAAACTTCATTTCCTGCAAGTAAACACAGACCCTCAGGGGTCTGTATTGGGACCAGTACTGTTTAAATCTTCATCAGTGACAAAGACAGTGGGATCGAGTGCACTCTCAGCAAGTTTGCAGATGACACAAAGCTGAATGGTACGGTTGATGGGATGCCATCCAGAGGGACCTGGACAAGCTCAAGATGCGAGCCCATGTGAACCTCATGAGCCCAAGTGCAGAGTCCTGCACCCGTGTTGGAGCAACCCCCAGTACCAATACATACTGGGGGTTGATGGGATTGAGAGTAGCCCTGCTGAGAAGGACTTGGAGGTACTGGTGGATGAAAAGCTGGACATGAGCCAACAATGTGCACTTGCAGCCCAGAAAGCAAACTGTACCCTTGGCTACATCAAAAGACTCGTGGCCAGCAGGTCAAGGGAAGTGATTCTGCCCCTCTACTCCCCTCTCATGAGACCCCACCTGGAGTACTGCATCCAGCTCTGGAGCCTTCGGCACAGGAAAGACATGGACCTGTTGGAGCGGGTCCAGAGGAGGGCCACAAAAATGGTCAGATGCAACACCTCTCCTATGAGGACAGGCTATTTCTAGTTTAGCAAGCACAGAGCTGCACACCTGAAGACTTCATTGTTTCTGATACAAATAATAGCTTTCATTGCATTTCTTTATTTTGTAATTGTCCATTGTGCTTATATGTTTTCCCCAGGTATTTGTTGTCATAGGACATGAGTTACTCTTGACTGAAATTGTTTACAGTACCTATAGCAAATCTATGACAGAGGGATTTCCTGAGCCCCCCTCACAAAATTATTTTTGTAATTGAGACCTTGCCTTGGAGATTCAGAATTACAGTGCCACACACAGAAATTACAGCAGTGGGTATTACAGATGCTGCAAAAAATTGCATCATTTTAATTGGAAATTATGTTAATAATGCCTAAACCAGAAAGGAAGCAGCTGGTTTAAGGTCCCTGTGACAGCGTGCTGCTGCCTGAGATCACCACCCCTATCTGGTTTTCTGTTGCACCTTCTGCATGAGGCTATGATGCCCATAGCACAGGATGGATAGTGCATGACCTAATGGTATTCACAGCCTAACATTGTCACTCAGATACCATCAACACATTTACCACAGGCTTCTTAGCTACAAACTAAGACAGCTGAGAAGCAGAGCTACGAGGCTTCTGCTGTTCTGCTACATGGGATATGTACTGTCTGGCAGAGATGTAGGTGGACAGTTGAGAGGAGTAAGTCTTCAGGTACTTTAGTTAAACCTGAAAATTACTGTGAGTCAAAGGCCTAATACTGCCTCAGTAGCTTAATAAAATTTATCTTGCCACTCTTTGGCTGTAGCAGAATTCAGCTGTCTTGCAGACTGTGAGATAACAGTTAATTCCTTTACGACAAACAAAATCGTTCAGACAACTTTCCTAGCCTGAGTTGCTGAATTTAGTTTCATTCTGTATCTTTAGTCAGAATAAGCCTTGTTCTCATAACCCTGTGTTGACAAATTCCATGCAGCCAGGAGCAGAAGTGATACAGCCTGAGACCCAGACAGAAGATTCGTCTTCAGGACTAGTATCTTTTTCTGTAGAAAATGCTTTCTATTGTACAGAAAACCACATCTGAATTTGTGGTTTGACAGCAATAGAAATGCTAATACCTCTTTGGGTTCATTTGCAAAATCTGACAGATCTTCTCTCCAGTAGGCAGTTTTTGAGGAATTGCCTTTGGTGTACTATCTTGTGTCTGGAGATTGTCTTACCTAAGACAGGAACAGAATGAAGAGTTCAGTGACTGTTGCATTTACATATTTCACTTGTAAAATGATGTGGAGCAAGATTTAGGAGAAAAGTGTAAGACCTTACAGAGTTTGTGTTAAATTAAAACAAATTTCTGAGTATCTGCAGTTTAAGTCTTTGTAATCCAGCAGACAAATACAGAAGGGACTACAGGGCAAGGTAACTGCAAAAATTTGATAGTGTGTACACCAATGGAGAAAAATGTTAGGAATGAACCTCAAATGTGTAATTAAAAGTATTAGGATGAAATTTGGAAGGGTTGAATATTACAAGCAACACCTTGACAGAATGAGCTGTCAAGGTGTTGTTTGCAATGAACAGGCAATAAAATAGTCTCTTAAAAGAAATGACTGCATATGCACATTTTAAAACTTGACCAGACAGAAATACAAATACTATTTGGGAGCAATTGTATTCTGGGTGGGAGATGAACTGGGTGAGGTGATAAAGTTGAAAACATCAGAAATAGAAAAGACCTATAAATAAAGCCCTGCTGGATCTTTGAGGACAAAGGTGTTACAGGAACATAAACCACGAGTATTTATTTTTCACAGATGGACCAAAGAAACCATCAAAAGATGACACCTTTAAATCTTCAAATGAACAAGGGAAAAAATGTGTTCGTTTTTTTTTTACATATATTGAAGTAAACTAAACTAGGCTAATTGATGCTATTCAGAGAGTGTACAAGGGATTGATGTCTCGCAGTATCAAGCTGTAGAAGATAAAGTGAACTTTATGAAAGTATCCAGGAGACATTCAGGGAAATCTGATCCCCAGTGGGAATCTACTAAATCTGAAAATTAAAAAAAAAAGTACGAGAGGAGGTGACATATTTTAAGTAGGATTGACCTTCTTAATGTATGAAGTTGTTGACCCATATTTGCACATGACTTAGTGCCCCTGTGAAGCTGTAGCATCATGCTCAGTCTTTCTCAGTTTTCAGCATTTTGCTTCATGTTAAGGATGAAAAACGTAGAGGTACTTATGGACCAGACCGTGGTCTGTGTCTCATGTTTATGAAACATTCTGTCTTCTGTCTTAGATGCTACAGGTGTCAAATCTGAGTCAAGGGGGTGTGAGCATTCTGTCTCTACTGAAATTTTGGTGTTGGAGATGCAATATGCAAGGAAAAATGAAGTGCAGTGGGCCAGGGGGTGTCAGTAACGCAGAACTCCTTCACGTCCCAACAACAGGAAGCTAAACTAAGGGATCACATATCCCACTAGCTTCCTACAGTGCTTTCTGGGCATGCTGAGAGTCTTTCAGATAGTGTCAGAGACTTTCAGATATTGTGAGCATTCTCAGACCTACCTCATCAATACGGCCAGATACGTTACCTGAAAATTAAGAACAGATAGTGAATCCTGTCCTCCTTGTCGGCAACACTGTGTTCCAAATTCTTTGATTATGAGCTCTTCTTTGCAGGAGAACTATTTATGTATTATAAGTTACCTCTCACAAAGCTGTGGCAGTTTGACAGAAGACAACACTAACGGAGAAAACCTAGCTCTTAACTGTCTTGTGTCAGTGTTTGGAGTCACCCACTTCAGCCAACACCGATAATTTGTCATGACTTTGCACTGATGTAGCTATCTGCAGAGGAACATCAAGGAAGAAAAGCCTTTAAGGAAATTTTCCAAAACAGAGCAAATAAGTTAAAGAGCCAGGAGGAGAAGGCAGCCTAAATTTCACTTATGATATCCCAGATATCTTTGGGTTTACTATCTTCTGCTTAGTTATAATAATATCACTGTGCTAGACATAGAGAGAAATGTTTTCTTTTAATGATGCCTCTTAACATTATTCTGTGTTCTCCTAGGTTTGCCCCATCCCATCCCAGCCTCCTCAGCCTACTGTTGTTCCAAAGCCAGTTCAATCTGTTATACATGTCCCCTTGCAACCAAGCTGCCCAGGCCGAGGAAAGATGGCAAAGCTCATCAACCCAGAAGAGATGACATCCAGGGATTATTACTTTGATTCCTATGCTCACTTTGGAATTCATGAGGTAATATATCATCATCATCATCATCATCATCATGTTTTCTTTGATTTATTAGTTAGTTATGCCCCTCCCACTTGCTCATGATTATATTCCTCTGCCTTTCTTCAGAAGATTGTATAATCTGGTTAAGTGCCAAAAATATCACCCACTTCTCTAGAGACCTTTACTCAAAACCTCTATCCAGCTTAGATCCTTATGTATATGGGTTCTTCGCAGAGCCTGTGCGGTGGTGATCTTCATATGAGCGAATAAATTTAATGCATTTATGAGGGCTGCAAACTAACCCAACCACACATGGAAACTACCTTGTTGCTAAGTTAGGTCTTTTGTTCTCTTGCATATTTGAATACGGATGCCAACAGAACAGCTACTCAACTGACATGGGAAGCCAAGTAATTTATTGACACCTGACAAGTTACTTGAATGCACAGGTTGCATTAATAGGAACGTATAGCCCAATAGCATCCAGTAAATACACTCCTGGAAAGAATGCAAAATACACAGTGGACCATATTTACTATCAAAAAGTTGACTGTACACCAATTCTAAAGAAGACACTAATATCTTATATTTACATAACCCAAGAGGATGGGATCTGAAAGACTGGGATGCAAAAAGGTGAACAATGTGAAATGAGTGGCACTTTTCACAAACCACATAACAAATAGTATTTATTTCCTTTACTCTAGTAGTTGGTGGTGGGGCGTATGTATAAACAGAAGATTTCTATCTGCCAATTACATCTTGCCAGTGTAGCATTCAGAAATTCAATCCAAGAATGGAGGGAGACCTAAGAGAAATATTGAAGACTCATCAGAGACCTCAAATGAGATTGAGCTCCTGATGGAAGAATGCAGCTCTGTAGGTCTCAGGGAGTGCAGGGAGTACCTGGGGCCTCTTTCTGAGGCTGGGAAGTGGGAGGTTGCATCCTTGGCTGCAGGAGGTGTGCACTGGTAGAGAATCTGTGTCAACAATTAAAAGAGCTGCTAGAGGAGGTTGGCAGACTGCAGCATCAGCGGCAGAGGCTGACTGGATTTTCTCCAAGATCCTGAAGGTACAAGAGCCTAAATTCCCAACTGTACTGAAAGGAGGGGCAGTCAGAGTCTGTACTTATCAGGTTTGGAAGTGGAGACTCCTCTGATGGTGAAGGCTGTAAACTTGTGACTTCTGGCAACAGGAGGAAGGCTGCTGATCCACCCGGAGATCTCTAGCTACAGAATAGGTTCGGTGCCTTCATTGTAGATGAGGGGCAGGAAGTTCTGTCCGATGAAGCATCGGAACCCATTGGCCCTGAGCCATGCAGAGGCACTGGGAGGAACTGACAAGTGACAGTAGTGGAAGACTTACTCCTGCAGGGGACAGAGGCCCCCATCTGTTGACCTGACCTACTGTCTAGGCATTTGGATCTGGGACATTGTAGAGAGGCTGCTGACATTTGTCCAGCCTTGGGTTACTAGAGATGCTCTTCCACATGAGCACCAATGAGACCTGGAACACATCAAGTGTGACTACACGGCTCTTCAGATGATGATCAACAGCAAGATGTGCCAGGTGGTTTTTTTGCCTCAATTCTAACAGTGCAAATAAAGGCTTGAGAAGTGCTCTCGCAACTGGTTGTGCAGCTGGTGTTAATGACAAGTTTTCAGCTTTTATGTCTAGGGGATGCTCTTTGGAAATTGAGGTCTGCTAGAAAGAGATGGAATTCACCAGACAAACCAGGCCAAAAGCATCTTTGCCAAGTGGTTGGCCAATCTGGTGAGATCTGTAAGCTAAGAATGATGGGAAAAGAGATGATGACCAACAGTCATATGGGGAAGTGTTGGCCGAAGTTGGTGAGCAAAAGATGCAGCGTGGTGTGGACAAGACCTCATAGTCAGTCAATAAAACAGAGCAAAAAGGGCCCAGCCCAAGTGTAAGCACACAAAATAGGCAGTACCGAGAGGCAGCATTATGGGGGAAGGTCTCATACCTTTTCTGGAAAATCACCATGATAGAGAGCTTCTCTGAAGTGCCTGTACACTGACACACACTGCCTGGGAAATAAGCAGGAGGAATTAGAGGTCAGTGTGCAGTTGCATGGCTACAGTCTCACAGGGATCAAAGAGATGCTGTGAGATTGCTCACATGACTGGAATGTCACAATAGCTGGATACAGGCTCTTTAGGAGGGACAGACTGGGAATGTAAGAAGGAAGTCAGAGCAGCTGAATGCATGGAATCATGTCCACTATGGGACAGATGATGTTCCAGCTGAGAGCTTATGGGTCAGGATTAAATGGCAGACCAACATGGTTGACATTGTTGTGGGTGTCTGCTACAGACCACCTTGTCAGGAAGAAGAAGTAGATGCAGTCTTCTTCAGACAACTGAAAGAAGTCTCATATCTACATGAGACATGAGTCTGAGTTCCGGTCCATGGCACATTTCAGTCACCCCAATATCTGCTGAAAGGCAACAGAACAGGACATTATCAATCCAGGACATTTTTGGTGCGTGATGACAAATTCCTGGCATAGATCACCTGAATCAGTGGAGGGGGGGAGGGGAGGCAGGGGGGTGCACAGGGTTGTTCTGCCAGTCCTGATACTTACTAAAAAGAATGAACCAGCTGGGGATGTGATGGTCAAGACAGGCTTGGCTGCAGTGACCATGAGATGGTGACGTTCAGGATCCTAAGAGCATGGATGCCCTCTTAGGATCCATGCTGTTTGTCTTGTTGGCAACCCTGGGTTTTAAGAGACCAGTCTTCATACTTTCAGGGATCTGCTTGGAAAAATCTCATGGGAGATGGTTCTGCAGAGCAGAGGGCTCCAGGAAAACTGGCTGATTTTCAAGGCGCACCTCCTCCAAGAATGGCCCATCCCAACCTGCAGAAAGTCAAGCAGCGGAGGCAGGAGGCCTGCATGAATGAACAAGAAGGTCCTGTCAAAATTCAAACTGTAAAAGAAGGATCAGGTGACCCAGAAGTAATTTCAGGGCCAGGGTTAGGAAAGCTAAATTGCGTCTGGACACGAATCTGGCAAGGGATGGAAAAGGTAACAAGGCAGGGCTTATCTAGGTCTGTTAAGAGCAAAATGAAAACTGGGGAAAAGGTGGGACTACTGCTGAATGAGGCAGGGTATCTGGTGACAAAGGATATGGAAAATTACTTCAGTTCCGGTTTTACTGGTAAGACTTGCCTTCCGGAATCCCAGGTTGCTAAGATGAGTGGCAAAGTCTAGAGTGAGAAAGACTCCCCTCCTGAGGAGGATCACTTAAGCAAATTGGACATAACATAAGTCTATGAGACCTGATGGGCTGTCTCCACCAGGGCTGAAGGAGCTGGTTGATGTCATGGGCACAAACTGAACTGGAAAAAAATATTCTTTACTGGCAGGTTGGTAAAATGCTGGCTATAGAGCCTCCATCCTTGGACATACTTGAAACCTGATTTGGCAAGTCTAAAACCTGATTAGACAAGGCTCTGAAAAACCTGTTCCTGTCATTTGTGCCTATTGTTCTTTAATTGGTTACCATTGAGAAGAGTCTGTTTCTCTGCCTTCTTTCCTCCCGCACTCAACAGATATTTATACACATTGATAGGATCCTCCTGAGCCTTCTCTTCTGCAGGCTGAATGATCCTAGCTCTCTCAATCTCTCTTCACATGTCAGATGCTCTACTCCCTTAGTCATCTTCATAGGCCTTCACTGGATCTGCTCTAACATTTCTTGCCTGGGGAATCCAGAACTGGACACAGGCCCCCAGATGTGGTCTCACCAGTGTTGAACCGCCTCCCTTGACCTGCTGGTGATGCTTTTTTAGTGCAGCCCAAAATGCTGCAAAAGCACATAGCTGGCTCATGTTTAAACTGCTGTCCACCAGGTTCCCAAGGTCATTTTCAGCAAACACTGCTTCTCTGTCAGTCTTCAGCCTATACTAGTGCATGAAGTTATTCCTCCCCATATGGAGGACCTTGCATTTCCCTTTGTTGACTTTCTTGAGATTCCTGTCAGTTCTTTTTTCAGCTTGTTGAGGTCCCTCTGATTTGCAGCACAACTATCTGGTGAATCAACCACTCCTCCCAGTTTTGTATCAACTGCAAACTTGCTGAGATTGTACTCTGTCCCATTATCCACATTGTTATCGAAGCTATCCAACAGTGTTGGCACCAGTATTGACTCCTGGGGGGCACCACTTCTGACTGGCCTACAGATGGACTTTGTGCTGCTGATCACAACATTTTGAGAGCAGCAGTTCAGTCAGCTTTCAGTCCACTTCATTGTCCATTTATTTCATCAGTACTCCAATGAGGATGTCATGGGAAACAGTGTTGAAAGTCTTGCGAAAATCAAGATAACAAGCATCCACTCCTCTTCCCTCATCCACAGAGGCCATTATTTCACCATACAAAGCTATCTCCAAATCCACGCTTAACACTTCCAATCACCTTGTTGTCCTTAATATGTTTGGAAACAGTTTCCATGAGGGCGTGCACCATCACCTTTCCAGTCTTGTTGGACTGTTCCTCTGCCTCTTTCATTGCCTGATACCAAACCATGCTTTATGATGATGAAATATTCTATACGAGGCTATTTTTATATAGCCTCATATTCATCTGCAGCTTTTAGGTATATATGGTCTTCTGCCAAGACAGGTAAGTGAGCAGCTGATTTGTGTAACAAACCAGTGCAGTAGTGCCTCAGACTCCTGGGCAGTGAGTTGATTCTTTTTACCCTCATATTCAAAAACTCTTTTGCCTACTTCCTTAAAACATGAAATTATGCCAGTAGTGTAAGCAAAAGTTCAGCCCTCTAGACCTAACAGAAGCATTTTGAGAAAATTAAAGTGTGTATTGAATGGCCTACACTGCACTTATAAACGGCACTTGGATCTTGACCTCAGTGCTCTTTATTGATGTAGTTTGACCGATAAATGCACAACTGAGAGCAAGGTGTCAATAGAATGAAATGCATATACTGCTGCTATCAATGAAAAAAATCAGCACCTAACAATGACAACTTAAAATAGTGAGATAGTGGTCTAGGTTACACAGTAATATCTTCTGGAAATTGGTCACATAAATGAGTGAACGGAAGAGCAGTAAGTACAGTATCTCTAAGCTCTGCTATGGACTTCCTGCATTGCTGTGATTCTGTGAAGCCTTATGATGGTTTGTGGAACGATTTCTTTTGTGTTCAAAGAGGAGCCTCAGAAAGTCCCTCCACTGAAGCTCTAGGTTGTGAAAGAAAAGGAAAACTTGGATTTTTGTATGGATTCTGCCTATGCCCAAAGCAGTGATGCTGTTAGATTACATTCTGGTTGTCAATTGTAACGGTGAAGTAATATGTAGAGAAACAAAATTCTACAAAGGACACCATGCTGCTTCTTAATAATTCAGTTCTGAGTAGCTAGCGGTTTATAGCTGCTTTGATGTATGCATCCCAAAGTGCTTGAAAAACTCTTCAGGTTGTTTTAATAATGCTTAAATTATAATAAGGGAATGCATTCAGCAGCAGTGTTGAATGCATATAAGCACTTCAAATAATAACACAATGCTTTTTTTTTCATCACAGGAAATGTTAAAGGATGAAGTGCGCACATTAACCTATAGAAACTCAATGTATCACAATAAACATGTTTTTAAAGATAAGATTGTCCTTGACGTTGGAAGTGGCACAGGAATCCTCTCCATGTTTGCTGCAAAGGCAGGAGCCAAGAAGGTATATGGGGTAAGCAGACTTTCTGTCATATTTTGAGTTTGTTTGAGCATTTTGCCTGAGAATTTGACTTTGTGATTTACCTTTTCTTCCTTGTCTCGGTTTGAAATTCTTCTCTCCAAGCTCGTGTGGCTTGATTTGTAGCGACTTCAGTGAAGTTCTGTTGCTTTCTATGTCCTGCAGCAGTGTGCCCTTTCCAAATCGAGATATAATGTCTTTTCTTTTGTGGAATGTTTGGTGATCTGGTACATATACACATTTCTTGGCTGCAAAAAAAAATTTAAAGGGACTCACTCCTACTCAGAGGGATCAAAGGACCTATCTTGCTTTTTTAAATTCTCAAGTTCTGCAGCTTTGTAGTCTTGGAAACAAATTTCTTTAATACACTTTTCCCTGTACACTACAACTCAGCGAATCGTGCAAGCAAGCATGTGCATGTTTTCTGTGCCAAAAATAACTCTTTTCAGAGGCAGAAGAGAATGATTACCTTAAATACATTGAACTCTGGGAGCATGAATGTGCAGTTCTCTGAAGTCATTAGAGTGAGCATAGATTTGCTTCCTAAGTATATTCATAGTTATTTGTACTGACTCTAAAATGACAAATAATTATTTTTTTTGCTTTGGGCTTTTGTTTGCCCTGCAGACACAACACAACACAGAAAAGGGGAACCAGATTCTATTTCTCTGTGTACTTCTTTGACAAAATTGTTTACTAAAACTTAATTGACTACGTCTGTGCATTTGAAGACACCGATGTCAGAGTATTTAAACTGTGCATCTTTATTACTGGTAATGATACATGAAATGCAAGGACTCCCGTTCAATTCTCAGGCTTATCTTTTCAAAATCCAATGTTAATTCTGAATGCCTCATCCGAGTATTAGACTAGAGCAAGGAAGTATAGACAGCTGAAATCAGGAAGTGCTAGCAAAAGTTTTGGCATTTAAGCATGAGATAATATACAGAATTGGCAGCTAGAATATATTTCTTGTAAACCAGGTACACAATTTATTATCTCAAAGCCTGAGGGAGAATAAACCTGTAGCCTTCTCTGATAGGAATGCAGGTCTCACGCAAGGATGTTGCAGTGCTGTGAAAGTATAAGCATATACAAAATGATGATGCTGGGCTCCCACCTATCTCCCAGATCCCTGGCCATATGGTCTTCCTCCCTCCCTTGTGCTGGCACTGGCGCTTATCTGATTCTACAGCGAGCCAGCTCACTGGCAGAAAATTCACCCAGTAAAAGGAAAGTAAATATTTTCCGAGGGTTTGTTGTTATTGTTTTTTTTATTTTTTTTATTTTGGACTTCTTGACAGTTCAGGCTGTACCTCAGGCATTTATAAATCTCAGTGTCACACCAGTATCAGCTCACCCATGCACTGTTTGGTGCTGAAGCTGAGGGCTGTGCGATCCAGGAAACTTAGCTCTCAAAGGAACTCACTCACTTGGGTATGAAACTGCTCTGCTGCAGCCTAAGAGTCTTGTCACAGACAACCTTTTTGTCACATGAGCTGCTTCAGCGTGAACCCTGTCACATAGCAAGCTGCAGAGTTGTATTTATGTTGGAAAAGCAGATATTTCAGAGATCTGGCAGTGGCAATCTTACAGCCAAATTCAGACTTCGTGGTCCTATTGGCAAAGAGTGCCGATGGAAGCTGTGAGTATTCCTTTTCAAAAGCAAACATTTTCCATGAGTTATTACATAGAGCTGAGATGTTCCAGTTTCTTCTCTACAGTTAGATGTGATTTTTCAATTAGCATGATGTGGGAACTGTTGACAAACGCAGAGCGTTGGTTTTCTGACTACAGCGCCACTGAAATCCCCCTTCTTCAGGTTCAAATTCATCCAGTACCCTGTCCAGTTCTTCTTATCCCCTCTTACTCACTGTTAGAACTTATTCCATGCCACTGCCCCAGCCAACTTGCTAGAATCATCTCTGGGTCTTCGAGAGGTGTAAATCATAGAATCACTGATGCATAAAAAGGTTTAGTTTAGAAGGCCGCTGGAAGTATCTAATCCAACCTCCTGCTCAAATCAGACTTAATTTTAAACCTGTATCAGGTTGCTCAAGGCCTTGTCCAGTCCAATTTGGAAAATCTCCAAGGATGGAGACTCTAAAATTACTGCCTTTTGTCCTGTCACTGTGCACATTGGAGAAGAGTTTGACTTTGTTTTCTCTGCAGTCACTTTTTGGATAGTTGAACATAGCTATTGGACTGGGGGAATCTCTTCTACAAGCTGAACAGAACCAGTCCCCTCAGTTTTCCTTCTTTCTTCAAGTGCTCTGACCCGTAACCATTGTGGGACGACAGCAGCAGGTCGTGCAATGATGTTTGTCTAACTGGGGAGGTGTTGTAAGACATGTAGAGATACGATTGGCATGTGGCTGTTGGTGCTTGGAAGAGGTGAGTGAGGGACAGACAAATTTAATTGACCCTTGAATCATTGGTTCATCTGTTGCATTTAGTCATGCAAAGCTCAGAACAATCACTGCAGTAGAACTATCTGAATTCTATCGTATTTTCAGGCAAAGACAACAGGGTAGGTAAGAAGGAGTTATACATATACATAAAATGAAGGCACATGTCAGATGTTAGTTGATTTAGATAAAGAGGTGGTGATGAGGACACATGCCAGGGGAAAAGGAAATCTGGGAATGTGGTGACTATTTCAGAAGACAACCCCAGTAAAAGAGCAGACATTGGCAGCATTAGATTGAAGACTGAGAAGAAAAATAAAAGTAGAGACTCACCCCTGGCAAGGTTGCAGATGACAAAAAGCTGAGTGGTGCAGTTGATACACCTGAGGGAAAGGATGCAGTCCAGAGGAACCTTGACAGGCTTGAGAACTGGACCGGTTTGAACCTCATGAAGCTCAACAAGGCCAAGTGCAAGGTCCTGCACTTGAATCAGGGCAAACCCCAATGTCACTGCAGACTGGGTGATGAACTGATTGAGAGCAGCCCTTCAGAGAAAGACTGGGAATAGTGGTGGATAGAAAGTTGGATATGAGCCAGCAATGTGTGCTTACAGGTCAGAAAGCCAATTGTATCCCAAGCTGCCTAAAAATAAGTGTGGCCAGCAGGTTGGGAAAGGTGATACTCTCTCTCTACTCCGCTCTGGTGAGATCCCGCCTGGAGTACTGCATCCAGCTCTCGGGTCCCCAGTACAAGAAAGTCATGGAGCTGTTGGAGTGTGTCCAGAGGAGGGCCACAAAAATGGTCAGAGGGATGGAACACCTCTCCTAAGAAGAATGGCTGAGAGAGTTGGGGTTGTTCAGCCTGGAGAAGGGAAGGCTCTGGGGAGGCTTTGTTCCAGCCTTTCAAAACATAAAGGGGGCTTATAAGAAAGGTAGAGAAAGACTTTTTACCAAGGCCTATAATGATAGGATAAGGGGCATTGGTCTTAAACTGAAAGAGGGTAGATTTAGACTGGATATAAGGAAGACATATTTTATGATGGGGGTGGTGAGACACTGGAACAGGTTGCCTAGAGAAGTTGTGGACACCACATCATTGGAAGTGTTCAAGATTAGGTTGGCTGTGTGCTTTCCTGGTGACTTAATCCTCAAAACTACCTTTGTTTCACTCTCACCAGGGCTGGGCTCCAAAATAGCAAATATTCCACCATTGCACCCACAGCAGAGGTCCCTGGAGGGAAAGCTGTGGCTTGTCCTCACTCTCCCCTGGAAACACTTTCATCACCCCACAAACCTAGGGGGTCTGCAGTTTCCTGGCGACATAATCCTCAAAACAACCTTTTTTCACTGTCACCAGGGCTGGGCTCAAACATAGCAAATGTACAGCCATTGCTCCCACAGCAAAGGTGTTCAGAAGGAAAGCTGTGGCTTGTCCTTGCTGTCTGTTAGCAGTGAGCAAGGGGATGTGAGAGCAATTGCTGGATGTTGGCAATTTTGAGCCCAGCTCCAGAGATAGAGGAGAAATCTGTTTTCTGCAAAAATGAAAGCGCTGCCAAGAAACAGTGACTCAAAGCAACAGTGTTCTCTCCTGGCACATTTTATGTGGGAGCATTTGCTGGACTTCTGCATTTTTTGAGCCTGGCTCTAGAGACGGAGAAGAAATGTGTTTTGTGGGACTATAAAAGCGCTGCCAAGGGACAGTGAAGATAAGCAACAGTGTTCTCTCTTGGCACCTTTGGTGTGCGAGCAATTGCTGGATCTTTTCAATATTTGGAAAGTTGAAACAAAGAAGCAGTTTTGGCTGGCGTGAGAGATAATATGTGGAGCAAAGCAGCATAATGAGCATCTGGCATGGAGAAAGACTTGTCGATGGAGGTTAGAAGACCTTGAGACAGTCAGAGAAACCTCTGCAGCAGACTCTCTATTAGGATTTTATCCCTCAAAAGACAATATATGATACCATAAATGTTGCTTTCATGTGGCAAATCACAGAATCACAGAATGGTCAGGGTAGGAAGGGACCTCTGGAGATCATCCAGTCCAACCCCCCTGCACGAGCAAGGTCACCTACGGCAGGTTGCACAGGATGGTGTCCAGGCGGGTTTTGAATGTCTCCAGAGTGGGAGACTCTACAACCTCTCTGGGCAGCCTGTGCCCGTGCTCTGCCACCCTCAAAGTAAAGAAGTTCCTCCTCATGTTAAGATGGAACTTCCTATGTTCAAGTTGGTGCGCATTATCTCTTGTCCTGTCACTGGGCACCACTGAAAAACATCTGTTCCCATCCACCTGACACGCTCCCTTTAAGTATTTATAAGCATTAATAGGATCCGCCATCAGTCTTCTTTTCTCTAGACTAAAAAGACCCGAGTCCCTCAGCCTTTCCTCATAAGAGAGATGTTCTAATCCCCTGATCATCTTTGTAGCCCATTGCTGGACGCTCTCCAGCAGTTCCCTGTCCTTCTTGAACTGGGGAGCCTAGAACTGGACACAAAACTCTAGATGTGGCCTCACCAGGGCAGAGTAGAGGGGAAGGATGACCTCCCTCGACCTGCTGGCCACACTCTACTTGATGCACTCCAGGATGCCATTGGGCGCCTTGGCCACCAGGGCACATTGCTGGCTCATGGTCATCCTGTTGTCCACCAGGACTCCCAGATCCCTTTCCACAGAGCTGCTATCCAGCAGGTCAGCCCCCAACCTGTACTGATGCATGGGGTTATTCCTCCCCAGATGCAGCACCCTACACTTGCCCTTGTTGAATTTCATTAGGTTCCTCTCTGCCCAACCCTCCAGCCTGCCCAGGTCATGCTGTGTGGCGGCACAGCCTTCCAGACTGTCAGCCACCCCTCCCAGTTTTGTGTCATCAGCAAACTTGCTGATGGTACACTCTATCCCTTCATCCAGGTCATTGATGAATATACTGAAGAGGACTGGACCCAGCACTGACCCCTCAGGGACACCACTTGTTACTGACCTCCAACTAGACTCTGCACCACTAACCACAACCCTCTGAGCTCTGTCTGTCAGCCACTGTTCAATCCACCTCACTGTCCATTCATCTAACCCACACTTCCGAAGCTTGCCTGTGAGGATGATGTGGGAGACAGTTTCAAAAGCCCTGCTGAAGTCAAGGTAGACAACATCCACTGCCCTCCCCTCATCCACCCATCCAGTCACGCCATCGTAGAAGGCTATCAGATTAGTCAGACATGACTTCCCCTTGGTGAATCCATGTTGACTACTTCTGATAACCTTCTTTTCTTCCAGATGCTGTGCGATGACACCCAGAACAAGCTGTTCCATCATCTTTCCAGGGATGCAGGTGAGGCTGACTGGCCTGTAGTTTCCTGGGTCATCCTTCTTGCCCTTTTTGAAGGCTGAAGTGACACTGGCTTTCCTCCAGTCTTCGGGCACCTCACCTGTTCTCCAGGACCTTTCAAAGATGATGGAGAGCGGCCCAGCAATGACTTCTCCCAGCTCCCTCAGCACTCGTGGGTGCATCCCATCAGGCCCCATGGACCTGTGTATATCCAGTTTATCTAACTGATCTCTAACTTGCTCCTCATCAACCAAGGGAAGGTCTTGCTTCCTTCCGACTTTCTCTGTTACCCACAAAGTCTGGGACTCCCGAGGACTGGCCCAAACAGTGAAGACAGAAACAAAGAATACATTCAGCAACTCCGCCTCCTCTGCCACCATCTGTCACCATGGCACCTGTCTCGTTCAACAGTGGGACCACATTTTCCCTAGTTTTCCTTTTGTCTCCTATATACTTAAAGAAATCCTTCCTATTGGCCTGGGTATCCCTCACCAGGTTCAATTCCAAGGCTGCCTTGTCTTTCCTTGTTTCATCCCTGCATACCCTGACAGCATTCTTATGTTACTTTCAAGGCCTATTTGATTGCTACTTGACTCTCTACCAACGAGCTACATCCAGAGACCATCAGGGAAGGGAGGAAGAAGAGAGAGGCCATTCCAGCAAACTACTAGTTCAATGCTTTCAAGTCATTAATCACCAGGCAGAGAAATTTTAAATACTGAAGACCAAAATTACTAGGCAGATGTAATATTGCCAGACATGCTGACGGGAGAGCTCATTGCAAAGTAACATGACCCACTTTGCCTCCCCCCACCACAAACCTAGTTCACAAAGAATAGAGAGGCCAAGAGCTGTTTTAAATGGACATCAGACAGACACCTAGAACAAAACTTACTGTGGAGGATGCTGCCTTTAGACTTCTTAATTTCTTGGAGGCTGATGTACTTGGACTGAACAACAGGCATAAGCAAAAAAGTAGTCAATGTCCTTGAACTAACAAAATCCCACAAGAGTCCAAAGCCAGATGCATTCCCTGTGCTCAGTCCTACCTATCCAACAGCTAAAAATCTTCCCAAAGCAGAAAAATCCACCTTGCAGATAAGGCTTTAAGCCATACTGCAGCCAACCACACACCAAACAAAGGCACGGGGAGGGCCAAGCAAGAAACTCAAAGGCAACCTTGGCCCCGGGTTTGAGCTAGCAGAGGACTACAGCCACCACTGCTGCCAAAACAGCTGAAACTGCCAATCACCTTGCGTTTTTGCATGTGTCCTGATGATACACCTCTGCCTTTCTCTCCTACTTTGGGTTCTTTAACAGAGGAACACACACCTGCTTCTATTTAATGGGTTATTAGATTATTCAGCTATCTAAAACAGAGAGGGAGAGAGAAAGAGAGAAATGCAAATGAACTAAACTACAAAACAATATCATCAACTATAAAGCAAAAGACCCAGAGAACAGCTGTCAGTTTTATGTGGAGAAAAGCAGGTGCAGGAAGAAGTACACGGAAGTGTTTACAGGGGAAAACTTAGCACAAGACTAAAGATTTGTGATCATATCCAGTGTCACAAGAAGGCAGAGGATGCTGTTAAAGCTGATCTGAGATGTGCCAACACATAAATAATAAATTCAAGTTGGTGTTTCCATCCAGCTTAAAAATGTTAACTTACATCCCTCTCCTGTTTCTGAATATCCAGATAGTGAACCATCGCTGGAACCCTCATTCACTAGACAGTTGTCTGACAAACTGCTTCATGACAAAAAGCAACAAAAAGATTCAACAGGAGCACAGGCTGCATGAATTCAGTGCTTGCCAACAATCTCAACTGGGAGAATGAGGTGAGCCCAAGAAAAGTTAGAGAATTTGCCAAATGATGTAAGTGTCATGGCAACCCCACTGGCAGAAAGCCTCCTAAGCTTCAGCTAAACTTGGAAAGGGTTTCCTAACGCCTCTTTCTTCCATGGCTACCCCAGCAACCAGCAGTGGAGTAGCGCTGCCCAGCTTCCCCCCTGCAACACTGCCAAGCAAAACAGCAGGCACAAAGCAAAAATCAGCCTCAATCAATGGCCCTGAGTGGTCTGCATCAGAGATTCAAAAGAAGGAATCAGGCAATTAAACTATAAACAGAAACATATTATCGTTTACTACCAAGGCAGAGCAGAGAACACGGCAATTAAACTATAAACAGAAACATATCATTTACTACCAAGGCAGAGCAGAGAGCATGTTGTGTACTCTAAACACGAGAGACATGATTTCACCTGAAACAGGGCAAGTTAAAAACATCCGAGGGTTGCACCTTAGCTCTTCTCAAGGCTGGCCAGATGGATACCTGAGCTGTTGAAGCAAGCAGCCAGAGAGCACAGCATAATCCCACTGGTGCCCAGCACCTTACAAGATGCACTGCTGGCACTGCTGCAGGGACAGGGTTTGTTTCCACTGGAGCAGATGCTGCTTTCAACAGCTTTCAACCCAGCAGCATCCACAAACTGAAAAGAACCCTTAGACCTGGTAGCATTGCTTAAATCCAGATGCACCCCATACCTGACAGCACCTCCCAAACCAGGCAGCATGCACCTGACGCAGCAACATGTCCAAACCCTGAAGTTTCCCCTAAAATTGGCAGCACCTACCAGACCCAGACACACATCCCAAAACCTATCAACAACCTCCAAACCCACAAACAGCCCCAAGCCCAGGGGCATACCTTAAACCTGCCAACAGCCTGCCAAGTCCGGAAAGAACTGCCAAATGTAGAAACACCCCCAAACCAGGTGGCTTCCCCCAGACCAGGCAGCATCCCTCCAAACTAGCAGCACTGTGTAGCCCCAGCGGAGCACTGCCACCCTGACCCTGCACCCCAGTTGGGCTGAGGTGGCTCCATGGCAGCAGGAACAGCCTTCAGGCTGGACCCCAAAACTCAGCACAGGGACCAGAGGTCGGAGCAGGGAGCCTGGGGTGGCCCAGACCCAGTAGCACCCTCACCCCCAGGACAGCTGTGCTTCTGCCTCTCCCTGGTACATGCCAGGGTGCTGGCACCCAGTCAGAGCACCCTGGGCAAGGCTTTACCTCCTTGGGGCAGGGAGCACCCTGGGGGACAATGGAGCTGTGCCCAGAGGTGGGGAAGAGCTGTTGCAGGGCAGTGGGAAAGGGGCAGAGACTGTGGGACATGGGTGAGCTTGCAGCACAGGGCGCAGAGCCCCGAGGTGTGAGGCTTCCCTCTGCCCTCAGCAGTCCCAGGCAAGCCCCTTCCTCCCCTACCCTCTAATCACATCACCAGGTCACACTGACACATGGCTTGAGCCCAACAGCCCTTTATCCAGGCCATGACAATGGGTCACAGTGTCTACTGTGACATTGCCACCACCTGTCTGCATGTGCCCCCCAATATGAGCAGAGGCACCCTCAGCTACCTGTCACACATGGTGACACGGCCACCACCTCGCAGGGCTAGGTCTAGAGTTCTGAGGCCAGGGCTGAGCCCTCAGTACCCAAGTCAGGGGGGTGGCTGCTCTTGTACCTGTATAGAACTGCAGTGCTGCACAGGTTGCCCAGAGAGTTTGTGGCATCTCCAGCCCTGGAGACAGTCCCAAACTGGCTGGATAAGGGCCTGGGAAGCCTACTTCAGGGGACCCTGCTTGAGCAGGCACTTGGACTAGATGGTCTCAAGAGATGCCCTCCAACCTCAATCATTCTGTGAACGGTGGCCTTACGTATATTGACAGGGACCTTCTTGATCGCAGGCACACCTAAAGGGGTGAGCACAGGAATGGGATCAACTGTATGGGGATGTGGAGAGCATTAAGTATGGGGACTAGGATGCACTGAAAGAGGGAGCAGGGACCTTGAAAAGTTTGGGCTTTGAGGACATTGCAAGCATGTGGCACCAAGCGTGGAGATGGGAACTTCATTCTGTGTGGAACTGGTCACAGCATGCAGCATGTGTACTGGGTTTGGATGAGGCAGAGTTAACATTCTTCATAGCAACTTGTATGGTGCTATGTTTTGGATTTGTCACCAAAACAGTGTTGCTAGCACACTGATGTTTTATCCGTATCTGAACAGTGTATGCACAATGTCAAGGCCTTTTCTTCTTCTCATACAGCCCTCCAGCGAGTAGGCTGAGGGTACACAAGACGTTGGGAGGGGCCACAGCCAGGACAGCTGACCCCAAATGATCAAAGGGATATCCCATACCTTATGACTGTGTTCAGCGTATCTTCAAAGCCACCTTTACATTGTAGCTTTTTCTTATGTAACATGCACAAAACAAAAGGAAGGAAACTTTAAACTGGAGCAGAATAGCATGAAAAGCAAGATGATAACTGCAATACAATGTGCTTAGGAGCATGAACACTCTCTGAGACTATGAGCTTTTACCTTAGGGCTGATGTGACCTAACACCCAGCCTAAGCCAGGTCTTACTAGCTAAGAGCAGCCCATACTGACAGCAAAACAATAGAAGATTTACTTTGCAATGATACCAGGCACATAACCACAGCCAGAACTGCAACCAATGAGAATCCAGGATAAACCACTCCCAGCTGCACTGGACATCAGTTTAGAACAATGAGGATTGACACACCATTGACCATATGTCTGTACCACCTGCAGGGGACAAGC